TTCATTGACTGAATAAATTGCTTATCCTCTAATCATCATCCATTATTGACATATACATATTCACAGGACACTCTGGCTGACAAGAATGATCTATACCTTCAGAAGTCTCTCATTCTGAACTTTGTCTGTGTGCGTATCCACCGAGGACATGCCTAGTCCTCGTGGTCATCCGAAGTGAGGAAACCCGTCAGAAAAAGGCCTACATTTTAATTGTTGGTCCTATTTGAGAGATTAATGAGCCAGAGGATCCTGCCACAGCCAGCCATAAATCACCGAGCTTTCAGAGAGTCTCCTTGTCACCCACCAGAGCGGAGTCTTCTCAGCATGGCCGCTGGTACAGGGAGGCTGGCAGCTGGCAGCTGCTTCCTTGTAATTAAACAGCCAATGAGCAGCTAATTAAGACATATGTGTATAAAGGAGTAAAAATGGGTATGGTAATGAATTGAGGAAATCTATTCATTAGGCAGGAATTGTCAGAAGACTACAGACTGGCCAGATTTATCCAGGCCTTGTGTTCTCAGTTGGGTTTGTGGGACTGAACGCACACAGAAGGAGGAGGTAGGATGACTACAGAAATTCATTTCGAAAGACACCCTCGACAGAATTCTAGGTAAAATATCCAGCTGTACAGAGAAACTGGTCATTTTATGTGCATGGGGGTTTGTTGCGTCAACAATTAAACGAGGATTTTTTGTTTATTTTAGAGTATTTGAAGTATTAAAAGACATTGCTGTTTGCTGTGATGTGTAACACTGGGTATGAAATGTGCAGTGCTGTTTTTTAAAGCTAAACTCCGGGCACAAAAACTTTCATCTCATTATATTCTTCAATAGCTTATACAAATTCAGATATTGACTATATTCAGTTAGGTCCATATATATTTGGATGCAGGCACAATTTTAGTTTTTTCAGGTATTTACCAAAACATAAAAAGCTATAGTTATATAATGGATATGGGCTGAAAGTGCACACTCTTAGGTTTAATTTGTATGTACATCCAAATTGGAGGAAAGGTTTCTGAATTACAGCTCTTAATAGTAGCCACCCCCCCTTTTTCAAGGGACTGAAAGTATTTGGACAATTGAATCAAAAGCTGTTTCATGGCCAGGTGTGGGCTACTCCTTCATTATATCTTATTCAATTAAGCAGCTAACAGGTCTGGAGTTGATTCTAAGTGTGGTATTTGCATTTTGAATCTATTGTTGTGAACCTACATCATGCACTCAAAGGAGCTGTCCGTGCAAGTGAAACAGACCATTGTAAGGCTTCAAAAACAAAACAAATGCATCAGAGAGATCGCAGCAACATTAGGAGTGGCCAAATCAACAGTTTGGTACATTCTGAGGAAAGAAGAAAGTACTGGTGAGCTCAGCAACATAAAAAGGCATGGACGTCCACAGAAGACAGCAGTGGTGGATGATCGCAGGATCCTCTCTATGATAAAGAAAAACCCATTCCCAACATTCAGACAAGTGAAGGACACTCTCCAGGAGGTGGGCGTATCATTGTTAAAGTCTACAATCAAGAGAAGACTTCACAAGAGCAAATACAGAGGGTTCACCACAAGGTGCAAACCATTCATATGCCTGAAGAATAGAAAAGCCAGAATAGACTTTGCCAAAAAAACATCTAAAAAGCCAGACCAATTTTGGAAAATCATTCTTTGGACGGATGAAACTAAGATTAATTTGTACCAGAATGATGGGAAGAAAAAATTGTGCAGAAGGCTTGGAATAGCTCATGATCCAAAGCACACAACGTCATCTGTAAACCATGGTGGAGGCAGTGTGATGGCATGGGCATGCATGACTTCCAATGGCACTGTTTTTTTGGTTTTTATTGATGATGTAACAGAAGACCGAAGCAGCTGGATGAATTCTGCAGTGTTTAGAGATATACTGTCAGCCCAGATTCAGCCAAATGTAGCAGAGTTGATTGGACAGCGCTTCACAGTACAGATGGATAATGATCCAAAACACACACTGCAAAAGGAACCCAGGAGCTTTTGAAGGAAAAGAAGTGGAATATTCTGCAATGGCCGAGTCAGTCACTTGATCTCAACTCAATTGAGCATGCATGTCACTTGCTGAAGGCAAAACTAAAGGCAGAAAGACCCACAAACAAAGAACAACTGAAGACAGCTGCAGTTAGAGCCTGGCAAAGCATCAGAAAGGAGGAAACCCAGTCTATGGTACTGTCCATGGGTTCCAGACTTCAGGCGGTCATTGCCAGTAAAGGATTCTCAACAAAATATTAAAAATGAACATTTTATTTATGATTCGATTCAATTGTCCAATTACATTTGAGCCCCTGAAAATGGAAGGACTGTGTGTAAAAAATGGTTGTAGTTCCTAAAATTTGTACTTGATATTTATGTTCAACCCCTTGAATTAAAGCTGAAAGTCTGCGCTTCAAATTCATTTGGATTGTTTTGTTTTAATTCACTCTGGTGGCATACAGAGCCAAAAGTATGAAAATTGTGCCCGTGTCCAAATATGTATGGACTTAACTGTAAGTATTAGTGATACCATCACTGTGCTGTGCATTACCTGTGCAGAAAGCAGAGCTGTGGGAGGGACCTAGCAACTCCATCTAATACAGACTACCTGCAAACACCTAGAGGAGGGGGCTCAGGGATTGGCAGGAAACTCCTGCAAAGAGGCCAAGTTTCACTCTAGATTACTGCACAAATTCCAGAAAAATACTCAAACACTAAGGAGGCTAGTTATAGAAAAAAAAAAGTTTGCTGGATGAATATAACAAGCTTTCAGTTATCCTTAATGAATTCTGGACATATTTTTCCTAATGTGGTTCAAATTTCATTAAAGTGGAGCTCCACCCAAAAGGGGAAGTTCTGCTTTAAGGCCTCGTCCCCCACTCCCTGTTAAGGATTGGCACCTTTGGGGAGCGGGCACCCGATTTTGACAGGTACCTGCTCCCACTTCTGCTGCTGAAGGACTACGGGACCATTCACAAAGTGCAGCTATGGTCGCGCATGAAGCCGCAAGCTGTCACAGTCAGGTGGCCACACTTAAGATGACTGTGCTGGGGACACAGGACAGCCACTGAACCCGGCTGTGGTGATTACACCGCTAGATTCTAGGATAGGTGAGTGGCTGTTTTTAAAAAAATCTGCAGCTACTGTTTTTGTAGCTGCTGACTTTTATTTTTTTTTCACCAGAGACTGGAGTCCTGCTTTAAGGTAAAAAACCTTCTGGGTGCAGCTCCCCCATCCCCCAGCCCCACCTTATACTTACTTGAGCCCCATCTCAATTGAGCAATGTGCATGAGAGCGGAGTCTCTTTCAGGTCCCTCTCTCTCTTCATTGGCTCACACAGCAGCGGAATCCATTGATTCCTGCTGTTGTCAATCACAGCCAGTGAACCAATGAGGAGAGAGTGGGGGGTGGGGCTGAACTGCACTCTGTATGTGCATGAAGAATGTCCATTCACAGGAGGGTGGCTCGGGAATGAGTGCCCCGAAACCACGAGGCTTGCTATTGGGGGGCACTTGGCAGGGAGGAGGGGCCCAGGACCAATGGCAGGGGACCCAAAAAGAAGAGGATTGGGGATGCTCTGTGCAAAACCATTGCACAGGGCAGGTGATTCCTTATGTTCATCATCTTTATCTAGTGGTGTTTTTTTTTTTTTTTTAAATGCCTCCATCAGAATGAATACTGCATTATGGCAACTAGATGAAGCTGATGGCCATAGGAAATCACTGTATTAAGAAAAATATGACCATATTAATCAAGGATGGACAAATGATTGTCATGTTTGTCCAACAAATTTTAAATAAATAGACCCCATGATTTAAGTAAAAATACACATGCCTCTTGTATTAAGACAATATTTTGTATAACCCGGAGTTATAACTTAATGGTTCTATCCTACTAAACACTTCAGCTGCGGTCTTCATTGATCAATACTTATATGGGAACTTTATGGGGATAACATGTAAATGGCACGTGGTGTGTGTGTTTTTTTTTTTTTTTTTTTTTTTTTTTTTAGTCTTGTATTGGAATTTTAGAATTGTTGTATTGGAATTTAAGTGTCTGGGTAGGGTGGAGACAGAGATGGTGGTGAAGTGTGTTATTGCTCCTCTCACAGAACAGTGCCTTATAATAATATAGCCCTGATGCCAAATACGTTACCTGTCCTTTTGATACTGGGGTTTATTTACTAAAGCTGGAGAGCACAATATCTGGCTCACTTCTGGATAGAGACCAATCCACTTCCAGGTTTTATTGCCAAAGCTTAATTGAACAAGCTGAGGTTAGAAGCTATTTGGTTTCTATGCAGAAGTGAGCCTGATTTTGGCATTCTTCAGCTTTAGTAAGTAAACCCCACTGTGTCCTCAGTACTTTGAGCTGCCAACTTGGAATAAGTATGCAGATCAGGAATTCTGACTTTTTTGATTTGTGTGCTTATTCTAGGTAAGTGACCCAAAATGGTAAGCCCAAAGAGAGATGGACAATTCACATTTTCAGAAGGAGCTCTACATTGCAAAGCTTTGAAAATAGGTTTCCATGTTTAAACAACAACAAATAATAATTATCGTTTGATGGGAATGGGTATTAGTCCTGATGCAGGTGATAGTCCTGCCATTGCTTTAAATTGAGGAGGACCAAAAAGAAGAGGGAAAACTTGTCTTAATAATTGGAATTCCCTGTAAAATAATGGGAATTCCCTGTAAAATAAGGGGTTTTATTGTCAAAAATGCAGAGGGCAAACCTGCCTTTTAAACATTGGCTTTCATGGTCAAAGCAGTCTGGAGGATGACTCGTATTCCTTTTTCTCCAGCATTCAGCAGTAGCACCACCAATATTTGCGGTACAGTAAAGAGGAATAAGTGAAAATGATGTTATGGGTAATGGGAACAGGCCTTTCAGACACTTACAGTCATGAGGCCCAGCATCATAATTGTATTAACAATATGCATGTGAATATTTTTAGTTTAAAATTTTTTTAGCATGTACACTTTTTAACATTCTGCTTTGTTCACAGGGTTTCTTCAGACGCAGCCAGCAGAGTAACGCTACATATTCCTGTCCACGGCAAAAGAATTGTTTGATCGACAGGACGAGTAGGAACCGCTGTCAGCACTGTCGGCTGCAGAAATGCCTCGCTGTGGGCATGTCACGTGATGGTAAGAACCACTCTTTTATGTTTCTTCTTTATTCCACAACCTCAGTAATTAAAAACATCTTACATAGTTGGATGTGAAAACTGAAACTTTATTAGAGCCATCAGAAATCTCTGTGTGATTGCAGCTCTTCTGTCCAGTAACAAAGGCTTCTCGCCTCCCATAGATTCCTATCAAACTGTAGTCAAACCCCCAAATAGCTTTTGTCTGAAGTGCTTGGAAATTTGTACCAAGAAGTAAGGAATCAGCCATTGATTCCCATAGATTCCCTTTTCTAGTTCCTTCACTGTCCTGCTGGTCAAATAGCTTAAGTTCTTTCTTACATAGTTAGTCTGGCTGAAAAAAGACAAAAGTCCATCCATTCTGAGTTACTAACCTGAAATAAATATGCAGATCTAGCGTTCTGACTTCACTGACTTTTCCGGTCTGCATGCTTGTTCCAGGTCCATGACTAAAAGTCTTAAGACCCAAGGCTGCCAGACAACTGGCATTTTTAGAAGCAGCTCCAAAATTTAATCCTCCCTGTATTTTCTCAGCATAGGTTCCATTGCTATCTAAACTAAAAATACGATTTCAATTGTAAATCATCATGAAGGTTTACTGCAATACTATCAGTGCAAGGTTGATATTTGATCTGTCTAAATACACATTTGTGGCCCATGAAACCCCGAGATCTATACCTGGAGGTGTCCTATTACAAAACCAAATAGACAGGAAAGTTAGGAGACTGAGCCAAAAAATAGAAGTAAAAAAAGTGGCTCTGTACCCAACCCACCCCCTGTGTTTGTTTTTTTTTTTTTTTTTTTTTTTTAGTTTTTATTTTTTTACCTTAAGGTGGTATCTGCAGATTTCAGATTCTCACCCATTCAGCGGATCCAGCATTGTCCCACTGAGATCATCTCACGCCTGATCACAGCCGTGTCCGCGCCGACATGTTCTTTCTGACGTCATCGAGAGGCCTGCCAGCTCTTCCTGGTTCTTCCTTTTCTCTATGGATGGCTATGTCTCCTGGGGTATGTCACATGCATATTCCAGGAGGAACAGCAAGCAGTGTGTATGTTATTTGCCTAAGGCGAATGATGTGCATGGGAAAGTGGGGCTGGACAAAAACAAAAAAATAAACCTGGCTTGATACTTACTTAGTGGAGGAGGAGGGGTAGAGTGGAGGGAAGTAGTGGAAGAAAGTGAAGGTCCGCTTTAACGAGCAATTATGTCTCTTGCAACTATGCACTCGTAAGTATACTAAGCAGCATAATCAGAATGATTAGCATATATTTAAAGTACATGAAATATTGCTAGACACACTTGGTACTCAAATATTGCATGGACCTTTTGTCTTGTTCCATCTCTAAGTAGCGTTCATGTTCTGCCCTCCTAATACTTCAGCATCAAACTATATCTACCTTAAAGTGGTTGTAAGGGCTGAAGGTTTTTTACCGTCATGCGTTACCTTCATATGCATGAAGGTAGAAAACCTGTGTTCTGCTCCCCCCCCCTCCCCAAGCACCCCCATATACTTACCTAAACCCCATCTCAATCTAGCTATAAAATCGGGAGCTGCTGTTTTTCTGGGAGCCATTGGCTCCTGCTGCTATCAATCACAGCCAGTGAGAAGGGAGGGGAGTGGGGCTGTGGCCCTCTCTGTGTGTCAATGGACACACAGAGCGAGCCACAGGAGTGAGCATGCACAAGTGCTTCCATAGTAAGCAGCTTGCTTTGGGGCCCTCAGCAGGGGAGGAAGGTCCAGGAGTGCCGGCAGGGGACCCGAGAAGAAGGGGATTGGAGCTGCTCTGTGCAAACCATTGCACAGAGCAGATGAATAGTACATGTTTGTTATTTAATTAAAAAAAAAAAAAAACAAAAACAAAAAAAAAACTGAGCCTTTTACTATCACTTTAAGCGTAATCTATTCACATCACATACCTGTACTGTGCACATTATAACAAGATGTTGCCCATGACATTCCAAGTATTAACTAACGTACCTTGAAGGAACCTGCAAGACATATGGGAGCTGCCATTCGTGATTTGTGGGGGCAGGCTGCAGGGTCGTCTTCCTAATTCTGGGTCACTGCTTAGCCAGTCATTGCCCTGTAACAAGAAGCAATGTAAGTATAAAAAGTCTGCACTATGGTCTGGGCAGGCTCCCTGCAAAACCAGATAAATATACAAACCCCATACAGATATATAAAAAGAAATATTTGCAGCACCCAAAACTAAATAATTATACAATGCAACATGAGAACAAAAATTATAAAAAAAGAACACTCACAAATACCTCTATATGTGATATACAAACAATGTTATAAACAATAAGAAACAATAAATCGATTTTTACAAAAGTCCATAAACCGTAAAGTCTGTCCACATCAGTGCAGAAAATCAATTCTGCACCTATAGATCCAAAATGAAAAATTAGCCTTTCTCGGTGGAAATGCCAATGCCACCGAATGCACTAAACACTCACCATAAAATAATGCTACCCTCTGCCTAGCAAACAAGCATGTCATAGAAATAAAACCTCTTGTGTGTAGTCTTCGTCACCTCTCAGGCACCTTCTCCTATCCAGGCATGGACAACAGCTCCATCAAGAAAGCTCACAAATGCAGGAGATGTAGCCATAGTATAGTAGTTTATTGCCCTGTAACAAGTATGCAGCATGGGACTTTTTTCCAGATTCACTGGTGGCATGCTTGTATGAATCAATCCGCACTACCGCTACTGATTTAAAATCTTCATTTTATTAAACCAACCACAGTAAAAACATCCCAGGTACAAAGGTTGATGCGTTTCGGCTTAGCAAGCCTTCGTCATAACCTATACAGTAACATAGAGAATGCATATATATGGTGGGTAGGACAAGCTCCACCCACTAATTGGCCAATTAAGCAAATAGTGATGGAAAATGGCAACAGCTGAGATGGACAGCCCATATCATGTCTGAGCCACCATAATAAGCAGACATTGAATAAACAAGTTCATACATATCAATACATTTAAAAAAGAAAATATTACATTATATATGTAACTCAGAGGGCAGAGAGGGAGAAAAAAATATCCTTAAGCGAAGTTCCACCCAAAAGGGGAAGTTCTGCTTTAAAGATTGGTCCCCTGCTCCCCATTAAGGATTGGCATCTTTGGGGAGCGGGTACCCGAAATTGACAGGTACCGTTCCCACTAGGCGATCAGAAGTGGAAGATGTTCTTCCCCCCCTCCCTCCCTGTAGACTTCTGGGACACGTGACAGATCCCAGAAGGCTACGGGGCCATTCAGGAAGCGCAGCACTTTTTGCGCATGCGCAGTGGGCACACAGCTGCGAAGCCGCAAGCTGTCACAGCTGGGTGCCCACACTAAAGATGCTGGCGCCTGGAACACAGGACGGCCAGTGAAACGGGCTGCAGGAAGGGCACCGTGGAATCATCGGGCAGGTGAGTGGCTGTCTTTTAAAAGTCAGCAGCTACAGTTTTTTTGTAGCTGCTGACTTTTATTTTTTTACAGTGTTAGTGGAACTCTGCTTTAAACAATAACCAACTTGTATAACCACAAAATGTCAGAGAAACCTCTAATGCAAATGTATTTCCAGATTCCATCTCACATTTAACCCTTGAGGGTATCTAGTCTGTCATTTTAAAAATCCACCAAGCCTCTCTGTTGAGGAGCCTCCTCTCCTTATCTCCCCCTCTGAAACATTGAGACTCCGAACCTGAAATCTGACAGATCACCTCCGTGACAATCCCTAAAAATGATTGGACACATTCAAAATGTGCTTGGTATTAAGATTATTAGTGTCACAGAAGTGCTTTCCAATTCCGGTTCATAAGAAACGTGTGGTACACCCTACATACTGTAGTTTGCAATAGATACACAAAACTAGTGCCACAGTTTTATATAGTGTTGTATGGGAAACTCTTCCCCAGATGTCAAAGAAGAGAAGGATTTCCCTATTACAGTTAAATGGCAATATCTGCAAGTTTTCTTATTTACCGGGATAATTGTCTGTGTGAGTTATTCAGGTGGGTTGAGAGCTCGTAGAGGAAGAAAGAAAAAGGCTAGGTGACAAATGAGTTCCTAAACTTGGTGTCTGTCGTCTGGAAAAATGACAACCTTTTTGTAATACTGTATGCAAACTCTTATCTGCATATAGGATAGGTAAATTCTTTTTAATAATCCTTATTATTCGATGATATTCTTTCAAATAAGTGCTGACGACAGTAACCAGACCATTGTCATCATGATGACGCTTCTTTTTTTTTTTACCGTATCATTCAAAAGATCCTTTCTAGGGAAATATTAGTAAACTTTTTTTATATATATATATAAAAATTCTGAAAGGTGCCTGTCTTGCTCTCTCTCAAACACCACAAGATTCAAATCATCGCGCCTATGGGTTCAAACAAGATACCATAATATATTAAGATGGGAGCTGCTGCTATCAACCTGCTGTAAATTGTAATAAAAAATGTGATAAAATTAAATATAATAAAATATAAAAATTAACCATAAATAATAGCGCTACCCTTAAACATAAATAAATAAATAAATCCACCACCAAATATGTGCATTAATTATTAAAAATAATAAATAAAGAAATAAAGAGTACTCATAGAGTCCATTCAGTAAAGTCCACACATCAATATTGCATATGATCCTCAGTAAATGAAGCTATGAAGTCTTCCATCACCAGTGCAAACTCCAGTGCTTTAACACCCCATCAAATTGCACACTCACCAAAAGCTGGTGAATAACCAGCATATCTTTGTTTATCCAACACTCCGCAGCTTAGCTCCAGCTTAGAGATATCCAAACAACTCCATATAGTACATGTAGGTAGAATAAAAAATACTCGCCATAGTGCAATAACGTATGTAGAAAATTTTATTCAAATACCCCCCCCATAAAATCGCACTCACATTGAGTCAGAAAATTCAAGCATTTGTTACAATCTTTAACACATAAGAGCATCCAGCTCTATCAGCAGCGTCTCACCAGCCTGCCTGCAACCAA